AGAGAGTTATTAATAGCTTATATTTAAAGAGTAAAGAACTTAATAATAAAGGTAAAGATAAACGTAAGATAAATATTACTTATTAACTTTATTACTTATTTAATAAATAAAGAAATAAACGCTTAGCTTTAAGAGTAAGTATTAAATAAGTTATTTACTTTAAATAAGTAAATATAAGAGATAATTATTAAAGGTTTAATAATAGTAAATCTTAAGATTATTCTTTATAATTATCGCTTATAACCTTAAAAAAGATTATAAGATAATATAGGAAATTAACCCTAATAATAAGTATAAACTTAATTCGCGTATTAATAAACTATTAAATAAAATAAGAAAAATAATAGGTTAAATAATAAGTAAAAAGGGATAAGAAAATATTTAAACTTATTAAGTAATTAAAAGTATTTAAGGTTTAAATAAACCTAGAATTATTAAGACTATATAAATAATATAAAAGGCTTAGCTATTATACTTTAAACTTAAATAAGTAAATAAAAGGTAATTACGTAAACTCTTTTTACGTTAATAATAATTTAAACCTATGAAATAAGGCTTTAATATTATTAGCTCTCCCTCTTAAAAATAACGTATAAAGAGACTTAGATTATTTTTAGTATTTCTCTTATAAAAAGTAAAGATATATAGAATATAGTTATAAAAATAAGAATAAATGCTTACCTAAAAAGTTTAAAGAGAGACGAGAATTATAATAATAAAATACTTAATAAATAAAAAGGGATAAATATTAAAAGCTAAATATAAAACTATAATTAAATTACGTAAAAGATTTAAAATAAAGGTATTAAAAGATAATTCTATTATTAAAATATACGCTTAAAGAACTAATAATATTATAGCTATTTTAAACTTATATAATTAATTTATAAAGTTATAAATCCCCTTAAATAAAGAAGATAAACGAAAGAATAAAGAGTATAAACGCGGCTACGAAAAATAAAAGTAAAGCTAAGAAGGTTTTTATTTCTTAAAAACTATTAAATAAGGTAATAAAATT